CTCCTCCTCCTCCTCCTCCTCCTCCTCCTCCTCCTCCTCCACCCCGCTCCCGCCTGAACGCCCGTTCCGTTGCAGGCGGGCGTAGAGGAATCCGCGTGCGGACCGGCTCCGAAGGGAGGCCGGGGCCCATCCCTGCTGCTCTCGCCAGCTGCGCCGGCTCGGGCACGCGGTGGCGGAAGTGGCCCGTGGGTCGTGTCGTGTCTCGTTGGCGCCACCCGCCTCTGCCCGAGCCGGTTCTGTCTCCAGGTCAGGAATGCCTCGCCCCCTGCTGCTGCTTGCTGGCCCGCCTCTGTCGTCTCCCTTCTTTTCTGGTGCAGGAGGAGGAGGAAGAAGAAAAGGAGGAGGAGGAGGAGGAGGAGGAGGAGGAGGAGGAGGAGGAGAAGAGAGAGGGAGGAGGAGGAGGAGGAGGAGGAGGAGGAGGAGGAGGAGGAGAGGAGGAGGAGGAGGAGGAGGAGGAGGAGGAGGAGGAGAGGAGGAGGAGGAGGAGGAGGAGGAGGAGGGAGGAGGAGGAGGAGAGGTGGGGCGGGAGGAACCGGAGGAGGAGGAGGAGGAGGAGGAGGAGGAGGGGATGAGGAGGAGGAGGATGACGAGGAGGAGGATGATGAGGACGAGGACGAGGAGGAGGAGGAGGAGGAGGAGGAGGAGGAGGAGGAGAGGAGGAGGAGGAGAAAGAGGAGGAGGAGGAGGAGGAGGAGGAGGAATAGCATGAAGAGGACGAGGAGGATCGGCCCGCCGAGAGAGCGCGGTCGTGGCAATGACACGCCGCGGCGCTTAGGACCGAGCCTACGCAACTGGGCTCCCCCGCTTGGCTTTGCGGGTCTGGAGGGGCCGTATTGGGCCCCCGTAGGGCCAAGTCTTGGCCCCGTGGTTGGGGGGTTGGCAGTTCTGAGTGCGACGAATTGCCTCCCTGCCGCTGGCTGTCGCAATTCCCCCAGGACACTGGGTAGGGAGCTGGTTGAGCTTGCCACCCCCTGTAGCCGTGCAGCTCCCCAACCGAGCGCACATGCTGCACCAGAGCTGACCATTCATCACAAGGAGCGAATGGCTCTGGTGGGGAATCTTTTCCCACAGCTTGAGCTGGGGGTAGGCTCCCACGGGGATCGGGGTGGCAACGTTGCAGCTCGAAATAAAAACTCGCCCCTTGCAAGGATTAGTCTGCATCCAATCCTCGACTGACTGGCGGGTGGGGCCTAAACAACAATGGAAACAATACCAACGTTTCTCGTCCTTAGGATGCCGCTGCACGCGGTGGCCCGGCACCCTCTCGAGCGCCTTGCGAGGGATGGCTATTTTCGCAACTCCTCGCATTGGGACAAGTCGCTGGTGCACAGTTCGGGGAAGGGAGACAACTTCTATCCCGATGGCCGCGAGCCTCTTCTGGACTCTTTGCAGGAGGCTGTCTAATTCTTGGAGGTGGTCCACCTGGGTCTGGATTTCATTCATGGCCTTCGCTAGGCCTCTCTGGGCCAGGGCGTCAGCTCGATCATTTCCCAACGGAACATACCACGGCTGGGGGCTCACTGCGAGGCTCACGGCATCCAGGTGCGAGTGGCGCTGCTTCGGGGTCACGCGCGCAATTCTGTCTGTTCTCTGGGGGGTGGCCTGCTCGATGCGTTGTCACCATTGCCTATGGGGTCCCCTAGAATACATCCAGCACCTCGCGTGCCAGCCTGTTCACGAGCGCATGGTCGGTCTAGATCTCCAGAGGGGCCTCGGGCGAGGAGGAGGAGGCAGTAGTGCAGGGCCGCCAACTCCGCGCGTGGAATCTGGGCTCCATCGATCGTACCGAACATGCCTGGGTAGTTGTCCATGCCAATGCTTCCGTCGAAGTCCAAGGCGACTCCCCATCCTCCCGAGAGTCCGCGGAGTTGACCGAACCGTCGAGGTGCGCACGAGAGGCCCGCAAGGCCTCGCCCGAGGGGCCTCGGACCGGGGATGTCGACGAAATAAATTTCTAACGGTGCGTTGCATTCTGGTCCTGGAGGGACTTCATTGAGCCCAGCCGGGGGGATTTCTCGGCACAAGAAAACGCACATATCAGGCTCCTCGTCCATGGATAGCTGCGTTCTTTCAATCAAGTCCTGGGGGCGCTGGATCCAAGGATGGTCGCTTCCTTTCTTCTGCGCATCCGTAGCACCGATGCCGCAGGTCTTCTGCGGCAAGTCCACAGCGCGGGCAGATGCCTGAGCGGCCGTAGCCCGAGTGCATGGTGCGGTGCGCAGTCCAGCAGCTGCCCGTCAGGAAATTCTCCAGGGCTCCCGCTTCTTTGAAGAGGGTCTTCCGTCGCATCCATCGAAATGTCTTGTGTGCGGCCTGTAGTTGGCCTCCGTGTTCGCATCCTTGGCCTTCTGGGTGGCTGCCCGCCTGCTTCCAAAGGCCAGCCTGGACCTGTCCGTTGATCATGTCATAGAGGCCATTGAAGTTGGTGTCGTCGGGGCTGTAGATCCACGCGCGGCCATCGGGGTCTGTCCATTTGTCGGGCAGAGTCCATCGTAGTCCCCCAAGTCCAACGAAGAGGGCCCCCATGGGCCCTGTAGCTGGCTGACTACCACTTGGATCTGGCCTTCTTGTTCTGCATCTTCATGTAGGCGGCTTCCCATCCAAGACGTGCGCGAGCGTAGCCCGTTGTGCGGCGCGATTACCGTGGAGTTGTATACGTCTCTGGCGCGGATTACTTTCGGGCTGACTTAGAGCAGGCTGGACATGTAGAGTACGACTGGGGAGTAGTCCAGCTTGGTCGCCAGTCTGCACAGAGAGGCTGTGTTAACGTGGTCGTAGAACTTCATGATGTCCAGGAAGAAGGTGACCACGCTGGTGTCGCCCCGTACAGCCGATACTTCGTCGAGGACGAGCGTGCTCATGGCTGCCTGTAGAGATGACGATCCCTTGATGGCGGCGTCCCAGAAGCCTGCTATTTCCTTCGCATCATTGCCCCATCATGTTCTTGTTCATGCGGCCCCAGATGCGAGTGGGCATGGGTAGTTGGCCGGCGGGGCGCTCGCCGCCCGCTGCAATGGCATCGCCCTTGGCCAGGAGACATATCCAGATCTGCATGCACTGGTGGGGCCAGGAAAGGTTGGCGATGCACTCGTTGAGGAGGTCCGTGAATTCTTGCTGCGCTGTTTGGCAGGTGGCTTGCAATGCCGCCCTGGTCCACTGATCTGTAGGCTGTGCCGTTGTGAGCGGGATGGATCGGAGGGCCGCCTGCATGTCCTCTATGGTGTAGGGATCCCAGTCGTTGTCTATCTGCTGTTGGGCTTTGGCTCGCAGTTCGCGCATGCTGTCGTGCAGCTCGCTGCCAGCTGAGTGGATGGTCCAACGGTCGTGCCACATGGCCGCTCGGGTGTCGACGCTGGCTTGTGGGTCTCCGATCACGCGGTGGTCGTGGGTCACTGTGTCGTGGAGGTCTTTGCGCTCGGCCTTGGAGATGTAGCGGTGCGCATTCTTCTGGCTGCCCTGTAGGGCGTTGTGGGCCCACTCGCGCACGGCGAGGAGGGGGGCTGACCAAATTGCTTTCGAGTGATCGTCGGCAATGGTCCGTGAGCGCTCGAGCAGGTCGTGGACGCTGTGGAAAATTGGCATCCTGCGGTTGTTTCGGATATCGTGGAGTGCCTGGCTGAGCTCACCGAAGAACGTTTGATCGTTCACGGCAGTGTCCTCGGTTGTTCGTGCTCGCATTGGTTGTGCTGTGTCCGTGAGGTTCTCGAGTAGTTGGTAGTTGTTGTGGCCTGCAAGGCCTGTAGTTGGCGCCGTCGCAAGTCGGTCTTCTGGTGGTTCCTGGTCTTCTGGCTCTGCGACGTGTTCGTGATCCACTTGCCCCACATCAATGTCCAGGAAGGGGTCGGCGTCGCTGGCGTCCATGGTGTTGGTGCGGTGGGCCTCCAGGTCATACTTCTTGGTCCTGTCGGCGCTGTGGGGGGCTCGGTCATTTGGCTCTCCTTCAGCGTTTCCGGCAACTCAAGCGACTACAATCTCCAGTTCGAGGGTCGGTTACAGCAGGAACCAAGGCCCCTGCGGCCCCAGTGGCACTGCCCGGCGCCTAGCCCTCTGGGCGGAGATCCCCCGTTCTGACATGTCCGAGGCTGCTGCCGAGGCCGCGCGTACTCGATGGTGAGGGGGTTCTCGTCTGGCTTCCTGTATTTGGCTCCCCTTCATCATCATGTCCAGCAGAACTCAAGCGACTGCAACCTCCAGTTCGAGGGTCGGTTGCAGCAGGGACAAAGGCCCCTACGGCCCCAATGGCACTGCCCGACGCCGAGCCCTAAGGGCGGATATCACCCGTTCTGAGACTTCCGAGGCTGCTGCAGAGGCCACGCGTTCTCGACGGTGAGGGTGTTCTCGTCTGGCTTCCTGCATTTGGCTCTCTTTCCTCATTGCCAACAAGACTTAGGCGACGACAACCTCCAGTTCGAGGGCCAGTTACAACAAGAACCAAGGCCCCTGCGGCCCCAATGGCGCTGCCCGACGCCGAGCCCTCTGGGCGGAGATCGCCCGTTCTGACATTTCCGAGGCTGCTGCCAAGGTCACGCGCACTCGACGATGAGGGGTTTATCGTCTGGCTCCCTGTAGCCGCTTTCTGGGTTGTTGACGACTGCCGCGCCATCGGAGTAGAAGGTTTAGCCGGGATTCTGTAGTGGGGCTCGCTGTCATAGAGTGAGGCGTTCCAGTCGCCGACGTATGCGCCATCGTCCCACTCGTGGTTATTGCGGGTGAGGGGCTTCGTGAAATCGACCGGCTGGTGGCAAGTGGACTTCGTGTGGCAGTGCTCTGCCCGACCTCCAGTGATTTGCCGCGAGGAGAGGCTGCGCGGGGTTCTCCCCCCGTGTGAGCATGCCTCCAGTGGCGCTCTGCGCGACAGGGCTCACGCCGCGTGCTGCGATCCTTGGGGCATCTCGGCCTTCTCTGGTTGGGTGAGCGTGCTGCCCGTGGTGCCCGATGTTCAGCTGGCTGTCATTGGGGTAGACGCTGTGCTGGCGCGTTCGCTGTCATTCATGCTGCACTTGTTCGCTGATGGTTCATCGTCCGTCATGTCCAGGAAAAATACTCCCGCTGCCATTGCCCATCTACCGTACTTATCTGCCAAACGTTGTGCTGCTGCTGGGTTCACCTGGTAGGCAACGCATTGCTGGGTCTCGCTGTTGGCTTCGACGAGGGGGATGTTGGCTACCCTCGCTTTGGCGGCGATCCAGTTCTCGTCTGTGACGCGGCAGGTGGTCTTCTTGGTGTAGTGCTCGAGGAGGAGGTGGTCGTGGATGTCCGTGCCTGGCTCCAGCGGTTCGCCCTGCTCGGTGTGGTGGAGCTGGGCGTGGCGTTGGCGGTCTCTCTGCTTCCTCTTGACGCCCTTGGGGATCTTCACGTCGTGGTTGGGCACTTCGATCGCTGCTGGCAGTTGGGGCCCCGTGCAGGTTATCGCCGCTGGTCTGGAATGGGGCGTCAGCTCGATGCCCGCATGCGGTGGCCACGGAATGGTGTATACTGGCTCGACCGCCTTGACCAGCGGGGGGAATGATGCTGAGCAGATGCCCCAATCAAGCATGCGCCCTGAGCTTCCTCCGCGCGTGAAGGAACAGTTCGGGATGAGGTACTCTGCGTTGAAGGCTTGGTGCCATCGAGAAGCCTGAAACTGCTGCGGCGTGCAGCTGTAGTCGCCAAAGGCCACCCGGGGCGTCTTGAGCATTTGCGCCAAGGCAAGGAGGCGCGATCGCTTGCCGACGTTGGCAGGGTGCTCGAGGTGCTTCGCGTCCGAGGTTAGGTAGATGGCGATGAGCGCGGCCGTGACCTGCTTCAACCGAACCATGGTGACCGCCGTGTCGCGGAGCTGCATCTTGAGCACGTCGCTGCCGTTCTTTGGCGTGAGGTGGGGGAAGGTGTTGAACTGCCTTGCTCGGGCCCAGAGCGCGCCTCCTGGGTTGCCCTTCCCTGTTGTCGGTGCCGCAGGCGCCGCCGTGTGCTCAGTTCACCATCCCATGCCGCGCAGGTGTTTCTGCTCGTCCTCCAGCTGCTTGCCTGGCAGGTGTGCCTCGAGGAACCCCATGAAGTCGTACTGCGCGTCTCGGCAATACTCGCGGACGACGCGGGGGAAGTTGCCGGCGTTGGCGACGAGGATCTTCAGGTCGCGGTGGGCCAGGCGCACGCGGTTTAAAAGAAGGTGGCGGCTTCTGCCCTTTGCCCTGTCCCTTAGGAGGCCTTCGCCGCCACCTGGGCTGCGCGCGCTTTCTTTTGCTCGGCCACGTCTGCTTCGGCCCGCTCTCCGGCTGGCACTGTGGGAGTTGTTGCTGTGGGGGCTCCCTTCTTGTCTTCTTCACATTGGCGTCTCTTCTTCGTCGCGATGTTCTCTCTTGGCTGCTTGGGCGGCATCTTGAGCTTGCTGGCCAATCTTGCGCTGTGTTTCCAGAGCTTCGCGTGCTTGATGATGTACTTGTTTGGCTTGTTCTTATGCTTGGCGTTCGCTCGGGTCCAGTAGAGCCAAGTCGCCTTCTTCCAGATCGGGAAATGCATCATCTGGGGACTCCGCTTGGCCTTCAGCCTGAACCTCTGAGCTGGTCGTAGGCACTCGGGAAGTCGTTCCACTTCAGCAGCAGCTGCGGCGTGTTCTTCGATGTTCGTCAAAAGCTTGGCCACCAATTGGGCCTCCCAATCTGCTGCGCGTTGCACTTGATCTCGGAGTCGCTGCTGCTGGGCGTCGAGGCGGCGTGGGGCTGCTGCTGCGTCCTCAAGCTGCTTGCTGATGCGTTTGTGCGGGGACTCGGCGGCGGCGCTGGCGCTGGGCAACTTGGGCCCCAGCAGCTTGGCGCCCTCGATGTCGCCGCCCTCGCGCCAGGCCTGTGCTGCCTTGCGCGCGGCGTCTGCCGCAGAGTCGTCGTCTGGTTCCTCCCTGGCGAACGGGCGGCCGATCCTGGGCGCAGGAGAGGGGTGCAGTCAAACCGCTGACACTTGTTGCATCGCTCTCAACCTGGCTTGACGGCTTGGGTCTTCCAGATCCAGCTGGTACCAGAAGGGCACCGATGGCAGGCCAGGCAATGATTCGAGCGGCGGCGGCCTGGGGACTTCGAGCGGGGCCTGCCATTTCGCGGTCCCTTGGGGTGGTCCCCGCCCATCACGTAGCCTCAGTGGAAATGTAGAAGGTGTGGCACAGCTGCCTCGCCCCCAGGCCAGGAAGTTCCCCGCGGCAGTTCTGTGTCCCAAAGATATCGCTGGCCCGTCTGGGCCACCCCTCAAATCGGAACAAGAGTGGGCCACTCGCGGGCTCGCGAGCAGCCCCAAGTGCGGTGCCGACCCTGGGACTTTCGGTAAGCAGAATGTTCTGAACAAGTTGCAGGCCGAAGTGCCACTTAAGGAAGAGGGCGAGGAGAAGGGGGGGGGAGGATGAGGAGGAAAAAAGAAGGGGAGGAGGAGGGCGAAAACGAAACAATCCAAAGTGAACCCACGGCGCGTCAACCGATGCTGCAATGCGCCCTCCCGCCCCGAAAACCATCCCCAGACATCCATGTCGTCGCCCTCTTCAATGCGGCGCGCCCCCTTGAATGGCGAGCGGCCGGTCGGCCCGCCAGTCAGACGAAATAACTGAAGGGCGCCCCGAGCGCCCCCAATTCGAACAGCACATGCCGCCAGGACGTCGAAGTCGTGGACGTATGCTCCGCGGAAATCCCACGCGGTGGCCCTTCAGGGAAGACTGTGGATATCCTCATTTTGGAAAGAAACATGCCTTTGTCCGTCGCAGCGTTGCAGGATGTCGACATCGTGGACGTATGCTTCGCGGAAGTGTCATGCGATCGCCCCGTTTCGAACGAGGGGCCGCCCTCCAATCTGTGTTAGCTGTTGCGCAATATGGGGCGACGGGTCGTTGAGGTCGAGGACGGGTCGCGTGACTGTAGATGGTTGACTTTGTACTCGGATGTGCGCGGGGCCAAAGGGAAACCCCAATGCGGTGGTGGCGTTCGTCGAAACATGTACCAATGAGGCTGCGGACCCCAGGGGCTCCTTATCTAATGAAGGCGGCGGTGAAGTCCATAGCCGATCCACGATCGGAGTTCCGCCGGCTTTCAGATCTTGGGCTCCTTATCTACGGGTTCCCGGATCAATGCCCCCACCTTCCTGGAACGGACTCGCCGTCCACTCGCGCAGCTGAAAACAATTGTGATCCTTTTCTGGCAACGACCCGCCCTGTATCTGCTCGTTGGTGGCATAAAACGAAAGTGTGCGGAGCCAGCGAGGCGAGAGTCCCGTCGTGAAAACCGCCCGCGGTCCACGCGCCAACGCGATCTGAGTTCATCTGCTCCTTGGCACCTCCTGCGGCGATGAAGACGATGAAGATGAGGATGTGGATGTTGTTGCTGCTGGTGGCGACGGCGAGCCTGAGAGCGCTTGGGGAAAGATTGTGGCGTCTGGGAGCGCCCGGGAGCGTCTTGGAGCGCCTTGGGCAGCCTGGGGGGCGCTTAGGTCCCATGTGGAATCGGCGAGGGGCGCCCGAGACGTATCGGCCGTTTAAATATTTGCCGCTTCATTTTTGTGAATGCATTTTGTGCCCAGTGGCTCTTCGGGGCCAGGGGGTGGGTTGATGTTGGATCAGCGTCTGCGCGTCGAAAGCATTTTTTTACGCGGTGATGTGGCGGTTGGGTCAGATGGATGCGCGCCACATTTAATTCCTTGCATCGGTTGGTCATGGTTGGGTTGGATGGATGCGCGCCGCATGATATTCCCAACGTCGGATGGTGAAGGTGGAATCGTACGCCGGACCGCGTGCTTTGCATGGCATGGTGAGGGTTGGGTCGGGTGGATGTGCGCCGCGTATCTTTTTGCGAAGAATGGTAATGGTCAACCATGTTTGGGTCGAACAGGCGTGTGCCGTTTATATGTATGTATGTATGTATGTATATATATAAATACACATATATATATGTATCAATATATCATATATTATATGTAAAAAGGGATGGTGAGGGTTTGGTCGTATGGATCTGAGCCGGTTTGTGTTTTCCTATCGGATGGTAAGGGTTGGGTCGGATGGGTGCGCGCCGAATTACCGTTTTGCGCGTCGGATGGCGAAGGTTGGGTGTATGGATGTGCGCGGCGATGAGGCGAGAACAACGATGTGAGATGGGCCGCCTCCATCCTACAACTGTTGCATGTTTTAACGAATGCGCATGGCGCCAAAGCGAGGGCCACATTTGAAAACCGCCCGGGCTCGACCCATGGAGCTCTTGCAGACGTTAGGCTGCAGGGTCATAGCTGGCGAGGAAGTCTCGAACGAAACGCCCAGCTCAGCCTGCCGACGCGCCCCGTGGCGCGAGAGGGAACGGTTATCTATAGGGAAAAGGAACGGCACAGGAGGAAGAGGAGGAAGAGGAGGGGGAGGGGGGGGGAGGAGGACAAGGAGGTGGAGCGTGCCCGAGGGAGTTCCTTCGTCCGCCGACTCTCGAAGAATCCGCCACCTGCAAAGCAGGTAATGAGAGACAGCGAAGCACCATGGATCACCAACATAGTGCACTATGGTGTTGTTGAGATAGAAGATGAGCTACAACACTAAGAGGGAAGCCGCGCTGAAGAACGTGAGCAGGAACATGGAAAAGACGAGGAGAAGGTGCGCGTTGAGAAAACCGACTCTGGCAAGTAGACGCGATGCCCCATCGAAGCAGAGTGTCTGACGCAGAACCGCGCGGCCAGCGTCGGCGCCCAGATGGGCGCGAAGCCGCTGATGCCGAAGAAAGAGAGCATGTGCCAGCTGGGCGCCCGACCGCGTGACCGCTCGCGACGCCGATCTCCGCGCCATGGCCCGCCCTTGGGGACCAGGGCGCACGCGGGGGAGGAGACGCCTTTTGTATTCTAACGTGGATGAACGGCACCACGTGGACTGACCACTTTTCAATCGACATCTGGCTCCGGAATGGTCCCTGCAGGAGGCCCCAACACCGATGCCAGAAAATGATCGTGTAGTCCTTCAAGCTCGTCCAGCTGCGCAATCACCTCGAACTTGCTGTAGTCGATCGGCCTGGGAGTCGGAGAGATGCGCTGAGGGCCAGACGAGTCCGCCGCGCGGTCAGTAGCCAGATCCCTCTCCATCGTCTGCTTGAGCACGTCATCGACGCTGCGACCGTCGGGATGAGGGAACGCGCAGTCGGGGCGAAAGCAGTTCCGGCCAAATCGGCACCGCCTTGGCGCAGGGCTGGAAGAGGCCATGGACGGCCGAGGTGCAGCGCTCGGCGAACGCCCAGCTACCGCAGAAGTTGGCCCGCACGATCACCCTCTAGGCGTGGGCCGCTGCAGGGTGGCATTGCTGGACAAATCCGAAGACGTGCATCAATTTCGTTGTGCTGCACGCGCAGCTCGTCGATCAACGTCGAGAGCTCCTGGTGCCGCTCGTTCGTGCAGCGGCTGACTGATGCCGCAAGCCCTCCCGCTATCGGCGCGGTGGCCTTCTCGAAGACACTGGGCGTCGAAGAGGAGACAACCTCCGAGACAGTCGAGGGGATCACGTCCTTCAGCGTCTGTGAAATAAAAGAAATCGTCTTCTCAGGCGTCGGGATTCTCACCAGGCAGTCCGCCAATTCCGTCTCCACTGCGGCTAGGCGGCTGTGGCAGTTTTCGTCGACCTGTGCGTCGTGCTGGGAGGCTGAAGCCGCAGGCGCCGCATCTGAATCCGAGCCAGAAGATGAATCAGCTAGCTTAGACGCAGAATTCGAAGAAGATGACCCTTCCCCGTCCAACGCCCGAACCTCAGCGAACGCAGCATGCCTCCCGATGATACTGTTCAGTTTCGCAATCGAGCCGTTCTGTGCATTGACCAGCTCCTGGTAGGATACTAACTGTCCATCGTACGTCCGCTGCGACGTGGCCAAAGGATCAGTCACGGACACCGCAGCTGCCCCAAGGGGGTTCTCCGGGTAAAACACGGGGGCATCCGCGTCGAGGGCCGCAGCACCTCGCCCACGAGGAAAACGATGATACCGCGGTGTGCGAATCTATGAGCTACTCTCGAAACTAGGGGAAGAAACCTGTAGGGTGCTTTCCAGCTCTGCTAAGAACTCCTGCTCCCATATATCCTCATGATGGCGGTGTAACTGGTGCGCGACCGCAACATGGCGCAAACGACGCAGGAGAGTCGACGGAAGCTCGCGACGAACGTCATGCACCGCCTGGTTAAGCCCTGAATCGCGGCGCCGTGACGCAAAACTTATCAAGCGCAAGGCTCGATCAGCCAGTCTTGAAACCTGCCCGCGCGCTTCGTCCATGACGCGACGAGGCGAGGCAGAAAACCAAATGCACAGTGAAGAACAAATCGCAGATAAGAGAAAAAGAAAAGATGCGCTAAGCTCGCTTGAACCAGATGCAGAAGAAAGCCATCTCGAGCCAAATGGCTACGGAAGGAGGAGGAGGAGGAGGGGGCGGAGGAGGGGCAGGAGGAGGAGGACGAGGAGGACCACTGTAAACCCAAGAGACTCATGGAAACCCTTCCCTCCTTACAAGCTCCCTTTTCATAGGCCACTTCAAAGGTTCATTCCCGCTGAAAGTGATGGCCAGGTGGGGGGCAACCGCGTGAAATCCGGAAGCGTGCCGAAACACCATTCTCAGGACCTCAACGCCACGAATCAACCGGACTGTTGCGTTTTCACGGTCCTGAATCGTCGCAGAATCTCATTCCTGGGACTTCAACACCGCGAATCACCGTAATTGGTGCGCTCTTACAATCCTTCCTCGTTGTAAACGTCACTATTGGTACGTTAACCATGAGTCACACACATATTCCCCTTCCTATATTCTTATAAACCGGGGCCGGCCCCCCAAAAAAGAAAAAAAACATTAGCCTGGCGACGGGCCCAACCATATGCATTTATGAATACCGCAGTTGAGAATATCGTCCTCGGTGGAGCTCCTTATGGGGCCACGAACTGTGTGAGGGGCCTGCCGGTGGTGGTGGTGGTGGGGAACCGCATGCGGGCACCCCCACTGGGACCTTCGGTGGAACCCCCCATGGGGCCACGAAGCGCTGCCCTGGGTGGGGGAACCGCATGCGGGCACCCCCACTGGGACCTACGGTGGGGCCCCCTGTGGGGCCACGAAACGCTGCCCTGCGTGGGGGAACCGCATGCGGGCGCCCCCACTGGGGCCTTCGGTGGAGCTCCCTATGGGGCCTGTGTGGGGGGCCCGCATGCGGGCGCCCCCGCTGGGGACTTTCGTGGAGCGCCCATATGGGGCTACGAAGCGCTGCCCTGGGTGGGGGAACCGCATGCGGGCACCCCCGCTGGGGCCTACAGTGGAGCTCCTTATGGGGCTACGAAACGCTACCATGGGTGGGGGAACCGCATGCGGGCACCCCTGCCGGGGCATTCGGTGGAGCTCCTATGGGGCCACGAAGCGCTGCCCTGGGTGGGGGAACCGCATGCGGGCACCCCCGCTGGGGCCTTCGGTGGAGCTCCCTATGGGGCCACGAAGCGCTGCCCTGGGTGGGGGGGCCGCGTGCGGGCACCCCCACTGGGGCCTTCGGTGGAGCTCCCTATGGGGCCACGAAGCGCTGCCTTGGGTGGGGGAACCGCATGCGGGCGCCCCCGCTGGGGCCTTCGGTGGAGCTCCCTATGGGGCCGCGAAGCGCTGCGCTGGGTGGGGGGAACTCATGCGGGCGCCCCCGCTGGGGCCTTCGGTGGAGCTCCCTATGGGGCTACGAAGCGCTGCACTGGGAAGGGGGGGTGGGGGGGGGAAGGAGGGGGGGGGGCCGAAGGAAAGGGGAAAGGGAGGGGACGCGGGGCGCTGTCTCTTCAAACCGAAGACCCAACACCACAGGAAGGTTGGGAACGAACTGGACTCCCAGGATCTGGGGCTTTGGGGCCCTCCGGACGGGCCTCGAAGCGCCCCCCCGGGCCTCGCGGGGCGTTTCGCCGAGCTTTCCCAGCGCGCCTAGGGCGTCCGGGGGGGTCATCGGAGACGTCCCAGAGATCCCTATGACAGCGCAAGAGCGCTCCGAGAGTGACCGACGTGACCTCCGCATGGCCCAATAGGCCTCCAGGGCGGCCGCAAAGGCTTCAAAAAGCCTCCAAGAGCATTCCCAAGAAGGCCCCGAGAGGCGAACATCAAACATTTTCTGGAGGGTTTTGTTGAATTTTGGGGTTCTCCACTTTTCGGCTCCCCGACGCTCCAATACGGCAGTCTTCTGGGCGTCCGGGGATCGCCCCGCAACCATCCGAAAAAGGGCTTCCAGGCAATCCAAGAGAGCCCCAAAACGGCACAACAGGGCTCAAAGATGGCCCGAAGAGGGCCCCGTGGCGGCCCGAGACGGCCCCGAGACACCTTCCGAAGCATTCCAAATCGCGACCCGGTCGTTCAGGGAGACCGCGGTTGGAGGTAGGGTGGCCCGTGGAAGCATCCAGAACCTCCAGAGCGCGCCCAGGAGGCCCCCAGAAGGCCTTCAGAAAGCCTGAAACTTTTGCGAGGCCCCCAGAGGCTCTCCTAGGAGGAGCCTCCGCAAGAAGAGCTGAGGAGGACGGGGAAAATGCGCGGGGTGTGGCGAGAATGAAAAAAAAACATGGGGGCAGGGTGGCGAATGACGTCATTCTAGCGGCGATACTGGAAAAGGCAACAAGGAGTTATCGCAAAATTGTCGGCTCGACCCTCCTGCCATTCCGCCTGCGTGCCAAAGTTCAAGGGCCGAGGTGCATGGCGCGAAGCGCCGCTGCAGTCTTGTATGTATATGTATATGTATATGTATATGTATATATATATATATATATATATATATATGTATATGTGTATATATATATATATACATGACTGAGCTGGGGGCGGGGTCGCGCGGCAGAGTGCGAGAACGCCATGTTCCAATTTTCAGATGGCCATGGCGCGATGACGCAGCTGTCGAGAGGTGGATGAGTTCTCGCGCCGAGTCGAAAAACCCTCGCGCCAAGTCTCCCTCGCGGGCCCAAGCGCGGCCAGCCCCCGACGCGGCGCGAGGGGGCCGGCTGCGGCGGGCGCGCGCCTCGCGCCAAGCCCGCTCGCTCCTGGGCCCAATCACGGCCGCGCAAGCGGCGCCGAGCAGGGCCGGCGGCGAGGGCGCAGGCCGGCGGCGACGAGCGCATCTCTCTCCTCTGAAAGCAGCGTTCGCGAGTCTTGCAAAAAGGACAGACGAGGGCGGCCCGGCACAGCGAACCAGGGCGGTTGAGGGCGGGAAATTGCAACTATGCCTTGCGTCGTCTGCTGCGGCCATGGCTGCCTCGACCCCTGCGCCCCTCTCGCCCATTTACCGAAAACATTTGCGTGACTGAGCTGGGGGCGGGGTCGCGCGGCAGAATGCGAGAGCACCTTGTTTCATTTTAAGATGGCAATAGCACGATGACACAGCTGTCGAGAGGAGGATGAGCACTCGCGCCAAGTCGAAAAGCCCTCGCGCCAAGTCTCCCTCGCGGGCCCAAGCTCGGCCAGCCCCCGACGCGGCGGGGGGGGGCCGGCTGCGGCGGGCGCGCGCCTCGCGCCAAATCCGCTCTTCTGGGATGACCGCCCTGCTTGCTTACCACTTGGCTTGGTTGCTATCTAGTTGACGCGCTGATATCTGAGATAGCTAACCTCTTGCCGAGCAGGTTGTGTATCTAAGTTATGCGGCCGTGCGAACTACTTACTGTCCTGGTTATGCTAACCAGCTAACCTAGTTAGCGTGGTTAGCTAACCGAGTTAGCTAACCAGCTAACTAGGTTAGCTAACCTCGCTAACCCTAGTTAGCCGCCGCAGGGGGAAGAGAGGGAAGGGCGGGAGGAAGGGGGGGGGGGGGGGAGGAGGGGGGGGGGGGAGGGGGAGGAGGAGGAAGCGATAGTTTACATTTGCATCGCTGAGGTTTCTTCGGTATTGCATGCCGAGGACGAAGAACCCAACCCAACAGTGGCAAAGCGAGAACCCAACGTGCCTTCCCAAAATGGGCTCGACGGGTTTTCCCAGCGAAGCTGGCGGATTCCCAACGTGGGCGCGGCGGATTTTTCCAGCGAGGCTGGCGGATTTTTCCAGCGAGTCTTGAGTCCCAAGAAGCAAGAGACGTGAAACAGGCGCGAGCTTCGATCTCCCTCTCTGTGTCATCTTCCCACCTGTCTGCGTGTTGCCCCCACGAAACTCATGTCAGAGTCGCACCTTAAAAGCTGACCTCCGAAGCTTAGCGGGCAAGATAACCCTCGCAAAACCCCCGTCTGATGCCCCTGCAAAGACGCAGCTCCCAAGAAGGCAGCTTGCATCCACCAGCCCAGGTGCGTCATGCACCTTGCGCTCCGCATTGAGAGAGCTCCTCTTCGCAAGCTCCCAGCGGGACACACGCGATAGAAGCATGTCCCCAACCTGCGTGTGAAAGTACACTTGACCAAAAAAAACCTTGCCGTCGACGTGATAAGCAACGGTATCGTTCATCTGCGCTATACGACAGTCGACTCGTATTGCCTTCGAGGTCAAGACCGTGTCAGAGGGAGCCAAGCGCAGATAAGCCCGAATCGCAGCTGCAAATTTCGCGCTGCCCTGCCGAGGGGGCGCCAAGCCTGAGTGAACCAATGGGCCCTGTTCGATTTCGTAACAATGCTGGACCGTGATCTCTTCCATCAGGCCCTCTTCAAAACCCTTGGTATTTGCACGAGGCGTCGTGCATCTTTTGCATACCTTGTGTTTGCGTTCCATGAGGAACGTGCTCAGTTGGAATCCCTGCTTGCGAAGTTGACCGCCAAGATGTATAGCGCTGTGGCTTTTCGGCTTCCGTATGCTTGCTGATGCAAGCGCAGGTGGTCAAGGATGCACTCTTCAAGCTGGTCGGGCGCGGCGCTTCCATCGTTGGCAATTTGCAGCAACTCTATCACGCCGCAAAGTTTTAACACGCTGGCCACTTCCTTCTGGGCCTTGTTGTATCCATCAGCGCGGATGACCACGTCCATCACATATTTTTGAATGACAGGCACTGCGGGCAGCCAT